GGCGCTGCGCGGATGGCCCGGCTCCCGCGGCCCGCGCTCCCGCTCCTGCTGGCGCTGCTGGCCGCCGCCGTGGGGTGCCAGGAGCAGGCCCAGACCCCCGACTGGAGGGCCACGCTGAAGACATCCGCAACGGCGTGCACACGATAGACACGTGCCTGAACGCCGCCCTGGACCGCCTGGCAGGCGAGGACGGGCTCTGCCAGTACAAGTGCAGCGACGGATCTAAGCCTTCCCCACGTTATGGTTATAAGCCCTCCCCGCCGGATGGATGTGGCTCTCCACTGTTTGGTGTTCGTCTGAACATCGGTATCCCTTCCCTGACAAAGTGCTGCAACCAACACGACAGGTGCTGTGAGACCTGTGGCAAAAGCAAGAATGACTGTGATGAGGAGTTCCAGTACTGCCTGTCCAAGATCTGCTGGGACGTGCAGAAAACGCTGGGACTAGCTCAGCACGTCCAGGCATGTGAGAAAACGGTGGAGCTGCTGTTCGACAGCGTCATGCATTTAGGCTGCAAACCGCACCTGGACGGTTGGCGAGCCGCATGCAGGTGTCATCACGAAGAAAAGACTGATCTTTAGGGTACTGACAGCTGACGGAGGAGGATGGAAGAACATAACCTTTGACAAAGAACTAATGTTTTTACAGGATAAAGCTATCTTACTTTGTGAGAAGACTAAGCCCTTACAAGAGTTTATATTTTGATGTTAAAACCCCAAAGGGAAACGACAGGGGAAGCAGTGAGGAGGGACGTCCGCCTGCTCTTCCTGGCGGTGGTGCCTGCTGCGCCACGCTGTCCAGGCAAGGGTGTGTTAAGGGGAGAACTTTTAAAAAGAAGAATATATTACTCAATTTTCACAACTATATTTACAAAAAAGTGATCAAATATAAAATTCATTATAAGGTCTGTTCAACATTATTTGGAAATATGGGAGATTCTTTATATTAATAGAAGTATTATTTGTTTACTAGGAAATTTTAAATGTACATTTATACCTGAAAAGAACTGAATTTATTTTTTCTCTATTTTAATTACACATAATTTGTTTCTCTTTAGCCCATGGAGCATATAGATGAGTCTCACATCTATGAGAACTAGTTACAAGGACTAGGTTTCCGTGTCTGTTTCTCTTGTAAAGTTGGAACAATCATCTGGTTTCCTTGCAGGGAGCAAACCCAGGATATCTAAGTGTTACGTAGTGTGCGTGGAAGACGCTGTGAACAAGATTCGGAAGCACAGCCACTTCCGTTTTATGAACCACTCATGTGACAAATGTCATCTTTTGCTATATAACCTTTGCCTTACTTGGAGAAAAGATGGATTTAATGAAACAAATGGAAAGTTTAACACAACACATTAGGGCACTATTTGCTCTTATGCTTTTATGTTTATTCCCTAGTGCTTGTTCCCCATGGTAGATTCTGGGATATTTTTTAAATACTATAACTTTTACTAATTGTGGTGTTGATAAAGATTATTCTTGATAAAAAAAAAAGGTTGTGGCTGTTACTATTCCATAGATAATGGAAGCTCAGTGAGGTTACACCACTTAGCTTGTAAAGGTTGGGGACTGAGCCTTTGTTATTTCTGGATCTTCAGGACCTCAGCACAATGCCTGCTATGTAGCAGGTGCACGAAAACTATTCAATTAACAAAAACCAAACTGATACAATGGAATACTACTCAATGAAAAAAAAAAAAAGAAAAAAAAGAAAAAACCAAACTGAGCACAGTGGAGTACACATGCAGTCCCAGCTACTGGGTAGGCTAAGGCAGGAGGATCGCTTGAGTCCAGGAGTTCTAGGCCAGCCTGGGCAATACAGTGAGGCCCCCATTCCCCTCAAAAATAACATAAATTAATGAATGAATGAAACCCACTTGGATGGAAAGGGGCTATCTCGGATGGAGTAGACCCCAAGTAACAGTGTGAGGGAGATGGGAGCAGACCATGTAGGTTTAAATCCCAGCTGGGTGGCCTCATTCAAAATACCTAATGCTTCAGTCTTCTTATTTCTCCTCTGTAAAATGGATTTAAGTAAATGAATACAATACATGGAGGTGTTGTCATTGGAGGTGTTGTAATTAGTAATGCGTAGCTTCAAATGGGGGATAGTCTACTTGTCCCATGAGGTTAAGAATAACATACATGGCCCATCATGAGAGCTTAATAAGTAGCAGTCCTTATTGTTATAATCTAGCAGTTTCAAAAATTTTAAGAGAGCAAATGTGTTTTACATCAATGAATTCACTTATAAAACAGGTAAAATCTGAGTTCATGTCATCTATATCCTCTCTTCAAGGCAGTCCAAGTTCCTCCAGGACCAGACTGAAAACCTCTCATCGAATTTCATCATTTTTACCATCAAGAAAACAGACCAAGGATGGGGATGTAATTTGCCTAAGATCACCCAACATATAGTGACAGAGCTGACACTAGATTCCACATCCCCCGAGTGACAAGGCAAAGACTTTGTGCGGCAGGCGTAGAGGTGGCCCTAGCCCGAGAAGCTGGGCAGGGGTGTCTCCCAAGACAGACGCCCTTTGCTGAGTGTTGTCAAGGTCCCATCTGAGCTGAGACAGAAAGCGGTGCCAGCCCACCTCTCCACCTTGGTCACAAGTGACAGTACAAGCTTTTCTCAGCTCCCATGGCCCCATCCTACCTCTTCTGGAAGCTTCCACCTCAGGGGGCTGAGATAAGAGGCTCCCTGCACCCAGGCTGCCCTAGTCCCCCCTAGGAACTCTCTTCCCTTGTTGCTCTTGGAAGACGGCCCCCTCCAGACAGGGAATGGCTTACCCTGTGTAGACTCCAGCCCAGAAGAGAGATGCTGGGGGTGGTGGCAGTTGGCATTTGTGCCTCACTAAAGCCTGGCGTGGCCACCAAAATGCGGTTATTGTCCAAAGTAGGCAAGGGCGGGAAATGCAGGCATTAGGATAGAGATCCCAACAACACGACACCCGACAACAGGAGGCACAGAGCAGCAGGAAGCCCAGCTCTGTCTTCTCTCTGGGCAGACAGAAACCCCTTTCGGAGTTAGAACATCTGGCTTCTGGACGGGGCCTTCTTCCAGGCTATGTCTGAATGCCCAGCATGGAGAGACCTGGTGCTTGCCACACTGAGCAGTTACTCTAGTTCCACCTCTGTCATGTGACTTTGGGCAAGTCCCTTCGACTTTCTGAACCCCTTTTCTCATCTGTGAAATGACAATAACAATACCTGTCCCACTCTGTTTGTGATACAAAGCGGGTTTCGCAAATGGGCTGATGACTTCCATCATAGCTTTTCAACCGGGGTCATGGCTGGGCTCTGATGGAGTATCAGTCCTTTCATCGTGTATATACGACTTTATGTCTGTGCGTTTTTTAGGGAAAAGGATTCATACTTTTTTTTATTATCAGGGTGTCAATAGAGTTTCAGATATTAAAAACCACTCATGCATACAAAAACATTTTGTGATCCGACGCTGTGCAAATTTAAGATAAAAAGAGAACCAACCAACCTTGTGCTTTCTCCTCCTAACAAAAATGCCAGAGCCCAGAAACCACCTGACACGCTTTCCACAGGGACGTGTCCACGCGGGGGCTGGTGTCCACGCGGGGGTTGGTGTCGGGGGCCGCAGCTGGGAACCGAACTCATGCTGAGCGTCTGGGAGGGGAACCTGAGGCCTGGGAAACTGCTCAGGAAAAGGTGTGCCTGGGGGTTTTTCTGACCCGAAGTGAAAACGTGAAGTGAAAGAGTGCCACAGTCGCAGCTGGCCTCCCCAGGGCCACTGCGTTTCAAGTCGTCCTCAGAGCCGGAGCACCTGCAGTGGGAAGCTGAGATTTGATACCTGACTGGGAGTGGGAGGCCTAGGTTCGAGTCCCTGTCCTGCCACGGAGTGACTTTGGGCAGGTGCCTTCTCCCCTCGGACTTTCTCTCCTCATCTTCAAAGTGGGTGGGTTGATGGGGAGATTCCCATGGTCTCCTCCAAGAAACTTAGCACATTGGATCCCAATTTCACAGGTTTGGGAACCAGACCTCCCTGGATTCAAATCCAACTCTGCAACTTATGGGCTGTGTGACCTCGGGCAAGTTACTGCACCTCTCTGAGTCTCTGTTTCATTCATCTTGTAAAGTGGGAGAAATACTACCCGTGGCACATTGTTGTGCAGATTTATGATAGTTATTTCCTAAATTCATGGTGCTGTGCCCAGTTTACAGTAGGTGCCTAATCAAAGGCAGAAAATGCTCCATAGAGTTAGTTTATAGGATTCTTGCAGGATTCTGAGTTCAAGTCGTGCCTGACCTTTGTCTGACAGCCGATGCAGATAGAAAGATCCCCATTTACTCACAGCTGACACTTTACCACCACTGGGGCCAAGGCATCACATTTTTGAAAAGCTGGTGGACCTGCAAGAATAACATATCATAAATAGAAAAGGTGACCCTCTGGACCTGGTCCCCAGCCAGCTGGGCCCTGTGTCCAGCTGTAAAAAGGGTGTCAAGGGTATCATAAGGTATATATCACTAAAAAAAAAAAAAAAAAAAAAAAAAAATGCTATAGGAACCTTCCTACCACATTTCTTCACCTAGTCCTCCTCTGTTCTTGGAAGCCCTTGATTGCAGTTGCAATAAAGTTTTCTGGAGTTTGGGGCCGTAAACTGTGTTCCTGTGCCCAAATTGTATTTAT